CCAACATCTTCTTTTAGAATTCTTAAGGTTTCATGCCTTAGGTTTAAGTCTGTTATCCATCTCGAATTGATTTTTGTGAGAGGTGAGAGGTGGGGATCCAGTTTCATTCTTCTACATGTAGCTATCCAGTTTTCCCAGCACCATTTATTGAAGAGAGATTCTTTTCCCCAGTGTATATTTTTCCCTGCTTTGTCAAAGATTAGATTACCATATGCAGATGGTTTCATCTCTGGATTCTCAGTCCTGTGCCAGAGGTCTATGTCTCTGTTCTTGTGCCAGTACCATGCTGTTTTAGTTACCATAGCTTTGTAGTGCAGCTTGAAGTCTGGTAGACTGATACCTTCTAATTTGTTCTTTTTACTTAAGATTGCTTTGGCTATATGAGGTCTTTTCTGGTTCCATACAAAGCATAGAATTATTTTTTCTAGATCTGTAAAGAATGATGATGGGACTTTGATAGGGATTGCATTAATTCTGCAGATCACTTTAGGTAGTACGGACATTTTAATGATATTGATTCTACCAATCCATGAGCAAGGTAGGTTTTTCCATCTGTTTACATCTTCTATAATTTCTTTTCTTAGTTCTCCCTGTATATGTCTCTCACATCTTTCGTTAAATATATTCCTAGATATTTAATTTTCTTTGAGGCTATTGTAAAAGGTACTGTGTTTTTTATTTGAATTTCGGCTTGACTGTTATTGGTATATATGAATGCCTCAGATTTGTGTGTATTGATTTTGTATCCTGAGACTTTGCTGAATTAATTTATCAGTTCTAGGAGTCTCTTGGATGAATCCTTGGGGTTTTCTAGATATAATATCATATCATCGGCAAAGAGCGAGAGTTTGATCTCATCTGTCCCCATTTGGACACCCTTAATACCCCTCTCTTGCCTAATTGCTGTGGTGAGGATTTCAAGCACTATGTTGAATAGAAGTGGAGATAGAGGGCAACCTTGTCTAGTTCTGGTTCTAAGTGGGAATGGTTTCAGTTATTCCCCATTCAGTATGATATTGGCAGTGGGTTTGTCATAAATGGACTTGATAATTTTAAGGAATGAGCCGTCTATGCCTATTTTGATGAGAGTTTTTATCATAAAGGTGTGTTGGACTTTGTCAAATGCTTTTTCTGCATCTATTGAAAGAATCATATGGTCTTTGTTCTTGCTTTTATTTATGTGGCGAATTGCATTTATAGATTTGCGTATGTTAAACCAGCCTTGCATCCCTGGAATAAAGCCCACCTGGTCATGGTGAATTATTTTTTTGATGTGCTGCTGAATTCTATTTGCTAAAATTTTGTTGAGGATTTTTGCATCTATATTCATGAGGGATATTGGTCTGTAGTTTTCTTTTTTTGTTGTGTCCTTTCCTGGCTTTGGTATCAAGGTGATATTGGCTTCGTAGAATGAGTTAGGAAGGATGCTATCTTTCTCAATATTGTGGAATAATTTCTGTAGTATAGGTGTGCGTTCTTCTTTGAATGTTTGGTAAAACTCTGAAGTGTAGCCATCTGGTCCGGGACTTTTAAGTTTTGGGAGGTTTTTAATTGGTGCTCCAATTTCTGAGCTTGAGATTGGTCTATTCAGACATTCTGTTACCTCCTGGGTGAACTTAGGGGGGTTGTATGTTTCCAGGAATTTTTCCATTTCTTCCTCATTATGTAGTTTTGGGGCATGTAGGTTTTTATAGTAATCAAAAATAATGTTTCGTATTTCTGTGGCATCTGTTGTGTCCTGTCCTTTTTCATTTTTGATTGAGTTTATTAGAGACCTTTCTCTTTGGATTCTAGTCAATCTAGCAAGAGGGCTGTCAGTTTTGTTTATCTTTTTGAAAAACCATCTTTTGGTTTTGTTGATCTTCCGTATAATTCTCTTGTTCTCAATTTCATTTAGTTCTGCTTCTTTATCCATTCTTTTTGTAGGATTTTTTTCCTTTTTGACAATTTTTAAGAGAGATTTGCGTGTTATTTATACTAACCCACTATCTGTCCTCTGTGTTACAAGTATTTTTTTTTTATTGGCCAAGTTTCATTTATTTCTTGACATAAAATCTGTACAGCTCGATTTTGAAAAATGGTGGATTAGGGGTGACCTACTGGCTCTCTGCTCCGAGAGTGGGAGGTGAAGAACACGGACACCCACACACGAGTGAGGTGCTCTCCCACAGGATCAGCTTCATGAATCTACAGAGAAGCAGCGAGGGACAAGCAGTGCTGCGGGAAAAAAAAAGGTGAACTGGAGAAGCGACCGCAAATACTGGAGAGTGTGGGACAGACAGTGGGGATTGCAGTGTTAGATGGCTGCGCCCAGAGGCAGGCTGGCCCGGGCAGTGTGATCTGACCCACAGGAAGACGACTCTTCCTTTACCAAACCCCTCTCCCACGCAGGCAGGGAAGTGCCAGAAGTCAGTGCGAAGTGGTAGCACTGACCGACAAGCGGTGGGGAGCCGAGACAGGAGCAGGGACCATTTTGAATTCGCTGGAGCGCAGCGCTGGGTCAGCATCGCAGGGGAGGGACTGACCTGAGCTGGCCCTTCCCGGATCGGACGCTGCCCAAGCCCACAGGGGAGAGTTTGGAGGCAGCTTCTTGCCACAGGAGACCACCAGGTCTAGATTGGGGGAGGAGAACTCCATAAAAGAGGCTCTGCCCGTGGAAATTGCTGAAAGTTCAGCGGGTGCTGGGAGGGACACAGCACAGAGTCCTCCCACGGGTCTGTCCAGAGTCGCCGTGTGTAGGGTGGGCAGCGGGCTCGGTGGGTGGCTCTGGGAGGCAGCTCCGGGAGACGGCAATGGCGGACACTGGCTCCGGATTCCCTCCGGGTGCAGTCGGCTCCAGCGCTGACTAGCAGTGGGTGGGCAGCCGCCATTCGGGGATCCCAAAGCCTGCAGCCGCTGGGGCTTGTTGCCCGGGCGTCCGCCTGAGTCATAGCCACTGCCCTACTATCAGCTCTGGGAGACCCCAGGCAGAAAAGTCAGGTAGACATGCCCATCAGTTTTCACTTAGGGTAGTAAGGAAATGAGGGTTTTGACCTGAGAGTGGTGGTCACATGTCAACAGAGGGAAGAATCTTAGGCCTCTCATGAGTCAAATTTAGAAGATGAGTTGGGACCCTATGTGGGTTCACCTATCACAGGGCGATAATCTGCCTGCCACAGCTTTCATTTTTCAGAGGAACGCATTTGGTCAGATAAGACCACCTTAACTTCCTCCTATTAAGTCTCAGGGAAGTTGGCTCTTACTACCATACACCTCAGTTCACGAAAAAGGAGAACTCCCCTTGTAGGAGCCAAATCGAGGAATCTGAATGATGACTCAAGGGACCACTGAACCTTGAACAGAGAGGACATCAAAGAATCCATGCCAACCCTTTGCTTTTAGCCCTAGAAAACTTATCCTGAAAATGAACTGAGATGATCCCAAACACCAGAAGACAGGAGGCCCCACTGCCAGTACCTGCTCTCACACCAGTAAGCCCAGAATGCCATCTAAGACTCACTCTAAGGGTTCCATAGTTGTTCTGTGGTGTCTTAGGGGAGAGGCTGATCAGGAGAACAGGAGCCCTGTGTGACTCTAGAGCAGTGTCCTCAGGGAAACCTGCAGAGGCAGGTTGCCTTCAATAAAGCCAAGATGGTATCTCCTGCTGAAGGTGCTTACAGGATCTCATTCTCCCCCCTCCAGGTACGCCAACCACCTACTCTCCTGCCCACACTCCCACCTGCTGTCCCCGGCCATAGCCATCATGCCTCGTGGTCAGAAGAGTAAGCTCCGTGCCCGTGAGAAACGCCGCAAGGCCCGAAGTGAGGCCCAGGGTCTCAATGGTGCTCAGGCCACTGCAGCGGAGAAAGGAGAGTCACCCTCCCCTTCCTCTCCTGTTTTGGGGAATACTCCCCCCAGCTCCCCTGCTGCTGGCAGTTCCCAGAAGCCTCAGAGAGCTCCACCCACCACCACTGCTGCTGCAGGTGCTTCATGCACAAGATCTGATAGAGGTGCCAAAAGCCAAGGTCAGGAAAATGCAGGTTCCTCTGAGGCCTCATCCTCCATTGAGAGCTCTCAAAATGATCCTATAACCAAGAGGGTAGGAATGTTGGTGCAGTTCTTTCTGTTCAAGTATAAAATAAAAGAGCCCATTACAGTGGCAGAAATGCTGAGGGTTGTCAACAGAAGGTACAGGGAGCACTTCCCAGAGATCCTCAAGAGAGCCTCTGAGCGCCTGGAGCTGGTCTTTGGTCTTGATCTGAAGAAAATCAACCCCAACGGTCACTCCTACACCGTTGACACCAAGCTAGACCTCGCCGAGGTTGGAACTCTGAGCAGTATCTGGGGCTTTTCCGGGAATGAGCTTTTGATGCCTCTCCTGGGTGTGATCTTCTTAAATGGCAATTGCGCCACTCAGGAAGAGATCTGGGAATTCCTGAATATTTTGGGGATCTATGATGGGAAGAGGCACTTCATCTTTGGGGAGCCCCGAAAGCTCATCACCCAAGATCTGGTGCGGGAAAAGTATCTGGAGTACCAGCAGGTGCCCAACAGTGATCCTCCACGCTATCTGTTCCTGTGGGGTCCAAGAGCCCATGCAGAAACCAGCAAGATGAAAGTCCTGGAGTTTTTGGCCAAGATCAATGATACCGTCTCCAATGCCTTCCCATCCCAATATGAGGAAGCTATGAGAGATGAGGAAGAGAGAGCCCGAGCCAGAGCTGCAGCCAGGCCTGGCACTTCTGCCAGGGCTAGTGCACATCCTAGGGCCACAGCCAGCAGCTCGTCCCACCCCTAGTGAGGTCCGAGGCAGATACTTTACTTTGTTATTGAAAAGTCCTGTTAACCTTTGTTCTCGTTATGTATTAATAACTTGTTGACTAATCTTTTTTTCAACTGGTGTTCCTTTCGACATAAGGTTTATTTCAATTCAAAATATAAGTTTACAAATGACATGGATCACATATTTATTGCAATATGTTAGGTTTAGTAGTAAGAGTTTTGGGGTTTGTTTTTTTTTTTTTTTGAAATCTGAATTGAACATCCTTTAATCACTTTTGTGATCCAGAAAAAGATAATATGGCATTGGAATAGGAATTTTCATGGAAATGTGAAAGATTTCACAGTAAAGTAGTTGGAATCAGAAAATAGAGAAAAAAATAAAAATTGGTCAATTCTTGGTTTGCTTTACTCGATTTAATTTGTCTTCTCTTAAATGGAAAATATATGTACATGGATATGATTATGTTATTCAAGAATGTGTGAAAAATAAAAGCAACAAATTAGACCTCTTGTCCATGGCTCTTATTTTACCCAAACTTTAGTTGAGCACCTGCTCTTTGGAAGTCTTCATGTTTGTACTGGGAATGTTTAGTCGAAGAAGACACAGCTCCTGCCCATGCAGTTGTAGATTCTAAGAGAAGCTATCATCATGGACGAGAGTGAGAAACTCTCTACTTCATAAAGAAGTGAAATTCATGACAAAGAGGTGATAAAGGGAAACTATTACCTAGCTTTCATTGCTAAGCAGCCATTTTGGCTGAATGTGATTTTTTTGTCCTAGATTGTTGCATTTTTCTCTAAGATGTCCTGGATTTTTAAAAAAGTCTCAGCTGGATGGATGGTAATGTCTCAGGTCAGATCATCATAGTAATAATTGCCACTCAGTAATGTCTCAATACAAGACAGACAGCCACAGATGCTCTGTATACATTACATATATTCTACCAGTCCTACAAGATGGGGGCTTATTAAGCCCACTTCACCGTAGAGAGCCTGAGGCTCATTGAGTTTGGTAGTGTGCCAGAGTTCACAGTGGTATTATGTAGCAAGTAGTGACAGAGTTGGGACTAGAGCCCCAATCTTAATACTCTACAGCCCACACTGTTCTACTCCTCCCAACCTGAGGCACACCCTGTGTCTTTTTTTCCTTTTTATTTTTTTTAATTTTTTTTTTATTTCAGCATATTGCGGGGGTACAAATGTTTAGGTTACATATATTGCCTTGTGTCTCTTATTTTAATTTTCTTCTCAGTATTCCAAAGTGTGTTTTAGGTGATAAAAAGAAGTAGTTGTGCCCAAACTACTATGGAATACATAGCCAGAGCAACAAAAACATCAAAGTAATTGAGAGGTATAAATAGAGAAATGAACAAGACAGTGTTCTGTGACAGTGACAGTATGATTATCTATATTTACAGTGTTAGATAACCTCAAAAGATCAGGGGCTCCCCACATCATCCTAAACAATCTCTTCCCTGTAGAAAGTAAATCTATCAGAACAAAAGTTACATGAAAATCTGTGTCTGGCTGATGAAGAGAAGTAGGTCAATGTGTTTTCTCTCTGACAGCCCACCTCCAATCCCGGGCCCCTGCCTTGTGCTACAGCTTCCCCATCTCACACCACTCCTAGGACAAGGACCCGTTCTCCACAAGGTTTGCCGAGGGGAAACTGCTCTAGAGCTTGCAGGGATGTGGCATTTCCCAGGAAGTATTTAATCGAAGAGACAGAGCCAAGATGAGGGCTGGGGAGACCAACACCCCATGTAGGAGGGCTAGGGGTGGAGACCAACACTCCAGAATATGAGGGGGGATCACACAGAGATATCATCCCTGTCTTTTCTTAGATGCAGACATCTAAGAGCTGTCAGTCTGAGCAGCTCCTCACATTATTCTTCAGGCGTCTCTGAGGGACATAGTCCTAAAGGTAGCATCTGCCCAGGTCAGTAGAGAAAGGGGTCCCAGACTCTCAGAGGAATGAAGGCAATAAACCTGAATGAGGATGATGGAAAGGCCCTGCCAGAACAGTGGAGTTATATAAAATCACATCTCAGTTGTTGGCCCTGTGAAGTGCCGAACTGTCCTGTCTGCTTGTGGCTGACACTGAATTCCAATTCAGGTCCCAGCAAGGTGAGGACTTTGGTCTAAAGGCCATGGTCTCAGGTCAGCTGAGAGTCCTAGGAAGGGTTCAGAGTCAAGGTAAAGACCGTGCATGTGGACTTGGAAACTGCTCAAGTCACAACTGACAAGGCTGCCCCTTGTGCCTCCTCTGCTGTCAGCCCTGGGAGGCTCAGGCAAGGCTTAACAGACTCAGGTGCCTCTGACTGCTACCTGGAGGATCTCAAGGAGATGAGAGACTTGGTTTATAAGCTGGCCATCCAGTTCAGCAGAGAGTGGAATCCCAGGCCATGACAGGTGTCAAGGTAAAAATCCTGTATGAGGAATGAGGCAACCAACTACCACAGAAGTGAACAGAGAATAGAGGTGTTCTTGGAAAGTCCTGCCTCTAGAGTCCACCCTGAGAGTCCACAGGCAGAGCTTTCAGGCTGAGGTTACCTGTCATTTGCTGAGGAGGGAGGGTGGTCTCAGAGACATGAAGTCCTTGTACTAATGGAGGAGGCTGCTTTTAGCAGTGGGAGGATACTAGCTCCCTAATAGGAGTCAACATGATGACACTGAGTGACAATAAGGAGACCCCTCTCAGAAAGCAGAGGGTCGCATAGAACCCTGTCCCTGTTTTCGGACCTGAGAAACCTGGGCATGACAACATGAGGAGTCATACTCACTTCTTCCCAGGTAATCTCACAGAGGTGAGGAACCTTAACAAAGGGGGCTGCCTCAGGTCAGAAGAGGGAAGGAAGAGTTCCAGGTTTTTCCAGAAGGCAAGGTGATGACCCCAAAGACAGGGGGGCACCAACCCCACAACAGTGGGGGCAACACAGATTCCTTCCACTACTGTTATCCTGGGGAAACTATGAGCAGTTGTGGCAATATGAGGCAAATTTCACGTCTTTCTAGAGTGTATCAGGGAATTGGGAGCTTTGGTATGAGGGGATAGGACTCAAGTCAAGACAGGGTGTGCCAGGAGTAAGAGTGAGGACACCGAAGAGGGTGCAACCACATACCCCATATCAGTGGGAGCCAC